GATTGGGGGAGTGGGCGGGGCCAGTGGGGGTCCCCCCCATGGTCCCCTCCCCTCTCCTCCAGCCCCCCCAACCCCTTACTCATGGCACTGGAGCCCTGGTGCTGAACATGAGGCTGTCACACCTGCAGAACCAGGGCCCTTCTTTCTCACTCAAAAGGGCATGTTGTCTGAATTCTCACCTGAGCATATCACTCCAGTATCAAAATAATGAGGGCAATTAAATGCCCCCCATCCTATGTGTGAGCAGTTCCAGAGAGCTGACTCATTGCCTTGACAATCAACTCGATACAGCCAAGTCTGTCCAGCACCTTCCCCAAAATAAGAATAGCCATGGGCACTGACAGCAGATCCACATCCAACCTGCCTACAAACAACCTCAGCATCCTCTATGTCCCAGTCACCGTCGCACACCGTTCCCCACTGGCCCTCGTGTTTAATCTCCACTCTGCCGGCACAGGGGCTGCTTCCATTTTTCAGCCTCAGCTCATCATCACCTGCAAAGACAAAGACAGAGCAGGGTTACAGAGAGTGCTGTTGTTCTTCCTCCTCTCTGGCCTGTCACACAGGGGCCCTAGGCTCTGAGCTCTGCTCCCCACTGAGACCTATCTTCAGGGAGGCAGGACCAGAAGTCTCCTTCTTTCCCAGGTGTCTGCTTCATGATTCACAGCACCAGTGTCCTCAGGGACTCCTACCCAACCTCACCAGCCCCAACCCCCATCAATATTTCTACTGCCCCTTCTCCACCAACACACTGAAAAATAGGTATCCCCTCAACCTTGCCCCTCTGAAAGCCAGCCCCTCCATGCAGGAGGTCTGGCTACAGCTGCTCAGCAACAAACCTCCACCTCAGCCTGGCCTGCCCTGACCCCAGCCCCAGCCCCGAGGTAGGGGATGCTAAAGACAAGATACTTTCACCTGGTAGAGGCTTTTGCATGGCAGCCCTGTGGCTGTTTCCCAGACCTTCCTCACTGGGAGAGTGGGAATTCAGGTAAGGGCCCCACCGGGCCAGGGACCAGGGGCTCCCATTGGAGGAAAGGGGGCCAGGAGTGCAGGGAGCCGCATGCTATGGGGCTCGGCTGGGATGGCCCTGCACACTGCAGGAGCATGGGAACTGCATGCTATGGTGCTAGGTCAGGCTGGTCCTGCTCGCTGCCACCACATGCAACTGGGAACTTGGGTAGGAGCACAGGAGCTGCATGCTATGGGACTGGGTGGGGCTGGCCCTGCACCCTACCACCACATATGGCTGGGGACTTGGTCGATACCATGGGAGCTGTGTCCCAGAGCTGGGTCAAGCTGGACCTGCTTGCTGCTTCCATGTGCAGCTGGGGACATGAGCGGGAGCTGTGAGCTATGGGGTAGGTGGGGCTGGCCCTGCATACTGCCACCAAGTACAGCCGGGGACTCAAGTAGGAGCAAGGGAGCTGTGCACTATGGGACTGTGTGAGGCTGGCCCCTCTCACTGCCACCACATGCAGCTCTGGGGACTCACACATTCTGGGGACTCCAAGGACCCAAACCCCCACACACACACATGCACCCTAAACACACACCCACGCCCTCCCACAGCTCCCAAACATACTCCCCCACAAACCCCACCCCCACCATACCCACATGCACACCCAGACCCTCCCACACACCCCACATTCCCCACCTACCATATCCCCCACACACACCCCATCCCATCATACACCCACACCCACTCAACCACACAGTCCTTCAACCACGCACACCACACTCTCCCTACACACATACCCCTGCCCCACACAATATATAAGAGTAAGACTGTATTTTAAGGGATTAGGCAATCACCTTTAAATATACTATGCAAACCCACATAAATCCAGACAATTTTTTTAAATAAAATTAAAATATGTTATAGGAAATGTTTGATTTTTCAATGTGATTTGTTGTGTGGATTTTTTTTTCCAGTCCCAAGATGGCAAAGCCCCCCTCCTCCCAAAAGGAGTACTTCCAGGTCAAAGGGAGAGACTTCAGGTGGCAAAGGTCAGGAGTTAGGGGTGGGACTTCAGGTCCTAAGATGGTTACCAAGGGGTGAGGTACCTGTCAAGGGCAGGGCTACCCTTGCAGGCCTTGACAGCGCACCAAAACTCATTAAGCGGCCCTCCAGCCGAAATAATTGTCCTCCCCTGATCTAAATGCTCATCTGAACAGAAGTTCAGGGCAGTTAAATCAGGCAAAATGACAGATCAGATCTAAATTAGTTCACCCAAGGAGGTGAATTCACTTAGATCAGGAACAGGTAAGCTTTATCTAGTCAACATCTGCACACGTTCTGAGTGCAGCCCCAGGGCTAGGAAAGCCCAGCCACTGCCCCAGCCCAGGAGCTATGCTTTTCCTACTTCCTCACCCTGACCAGACTATTTTTAGACCTCCACTCCCTATGGGCAACCCCTCCTATGGACCACCAACCCATGCCCCACTCCTTCAGGCTTGCTTGCTCCCTAGCCCGATCCCACCAAATCACCCACTAACTCTCCTGCAGACCTGCTAGCCCCCGCCACCCTGACCTAACTTATCCCAGGTTCCTGACAGCTTCCAGCACCACCGCTTCACATGTCACTCACAATCCATGATGATCACACAACTGCATGATCATAGACTGGGGGTGCATCTACATGAAACCCATTAATGTGCATTAGCCTAAGTTAATGCGCATTACCAGGAATTCATCTACGCATGAGTGCCTTTAATGAGCATTGGCTTAGGCTAATCAAGCCTAAATTTGATACCTGCAAATTCAGGTATCAGATTTAGGCATGATCAGTTAATGTACATTAATACACACAGAGATGCAACCCGCCACTAATGTTAGTGCCTTTAGTGCCAGGTCTGCCCTGCCACCACGGGACCAGCCTGAGCCCAGCCCCAAGGAACATCCAGGGGCTGGGGTGCTGGGCACCTGCCCCCTCTCCATGGCCTCCCACTCTGGGCTTGAAGACCCAAAATTTTGTTAATAGTTTTCCCCTTATATATAGCTTCCCACTTGTAAGCAGGTTTGGTTTTTTTTCGTTTTTTTTTTTTTTTTTTTTTTTTAAATCGGTGGTGGTGGGGAAGGGAGAGGTAAAAGGGATCTGTTGGTTGAGGTGGGGAGAGTGTTCTGTTGAGGGGGAAGGGGAGGGATGGAGATGGGTATTATGAGGGTAATAAAGTTTTTTTGTGTCACCTATATGCATGTCCTGAGAGTTGGGCAGGGGGTAAGGGGTGTGTGGGCAGCAGGGCAGGTGGGGTGCAGCAGGGAATACAGGAGGAGGGTGTTGGGCAGGGCCTCTTGCAACTACTTCCCTGGCCCCCACTGGCAGTTGTACAGCTGTCCCGGGGCCTGGGCAGGGGGGGTCCTACCAGGGCCAGGAGGGTCAGCATCATGGCCAGCAAGAGCATGGGGTGCTGGTCATCACTGGCGGGGACCAGGCCTAAGCAGCAGGGTACTGGTCATTACTGGCAGGGGCAGCAGCAGCCCTGGAATGGGGAGGCAGGGTGGTCAAGGAGGAAGCTGCCATGCTCTGCCCCTGTTCTGGGTATGCAGCTCCTGGGCAGGAAAGGGGCTGGCCAGGGATCAGAATTTCCTAGAAGGCTGACAGGTGCTGGCAGCTGGCTCTGACATCAACATGGTTGCCAAGTGCTGGCAGCCATGTGGCCAGAGGCTGGAGTTCCCCCCGGTGGCCACAGGGGCACATGGCAGGGCTACAGGGACTTGGAACTAACTTTAACACCAAGTCCCTGCACATGTAGACACCTGCCAAAAATCGCTTAATGTGCATTAAATTTAGTTGCACTTAAATGCATGTGTAGACACACCCTGAGTGTAGCAAACATCTGCTCATACCCCTGGAAGTGAAGTGATATCTGCAAGGCCACACAATAAATGTGGCAGATTCAAGAATGGAACCAGTGTTAGCTGATTCTCAGTGAAGGGTTTGCATGAAAGAGCTGTTGGTAAGTGACATGAATGGGTGCGTAGCTCAGGCCATCCACTCCATGATGTCCTCACAACAGCAATTACCAAAGAGTAGATTATTGTTATTCCTTTGCTGTCAGTGGGACAAGGGTAGTATATAACCTTGAACTCTTCTCTACTGCTGCATGTTTACTGTCTGGTTTGAACAAGTACCATTGTGTTATGACTGACTGTGCATTTCATGACTGGTGCAGTAGAGCATTCAATCACTTGTGAGCTTTTGGCCTAGCCTGTATTTTAAAGACCTGCTTGTATTGGTCCTATCAAGTTGGGGGTTGATCTTCTGAAGGAAGAATACAGATAGCTGAAGTAGAGGTTGCAGGTGACCTGAGGAAGTTAATCTGTTCATGTATCACCTGAATGCCACTGTATTTGCACATTTCAATGAACAGTTCTCTTAACAAAGACTGAGTTTAATTTTAAAACATGAAGACTTCCCATGCTTATACAGTGTGCAGTATATAAAACATGGTGGCAGCATGAAGTTTAGGAACACACTCGGTAGAGACTAGAGTGTGATTTTGAAAATCAAGCAGCACCTGGAGAGTAAGCAGACAAACTCCAGTGACCAGGAATGCTGAACCCCAGACAAAACACCTTGCACAGGCAATAGAAACAGCATTGGAGTCTTGTTATAGGTCTGAGCATGAGGAATAAAGATGTGAAAATGAGCCTTTTCACTCTCTCAGCTGGAGAACAAGGACAAGAAATTAGTGAGACAATGCTGCCAGGAAAATATCCAAAATATGGAGGAATTGATTAAAGTGTTTGAATCCTGTGGCCTGAAGCAAAATGTGGTGGTAGAGTTGGGGAGATGCTCCAATCTATGAGGAATGATTTGGCTTATAGGGTGGTGTTGTCTGCAGTCCTCCCAAAGGCTCTTTGCTGAACTGCAGATTGAAACAAAGCAGAAATATCACATTTTCACTCATATAACTTGCACCTTTTCCTCAAAAAAAAAAAAAAAACCAGCTTCTGGAAACTGGAGTTTGTATTATAAGTGAGGAAATATGGTAACAGCATTTTCTGTATCATAATCCTCTGCCAGGGAACAGTGAAAGCAACACTGCATCTGCTCCACAGGGGGTGCATTTACACATGCACCCAACTGTGCAGTTGTTACAGTCATTTAGTACCTGCTTAAGCCAGTACTAAATGACTGAACAGTAACCACCATTACTGTGCAGTTCCGGTGCCTCATGGGTCATTTCCAACCCTACTGCACAGTAGCTATGAACCACTGTGCAGCAGTTGGTTGCTACTGTGCAGTGGTTTTGGTGTCATGATTCATACTTGCCAATGCTATGTCACCATAGCAACAAGCTACATCACCATAGTTCATCCCTATGGCGACATAGCGTCTCATATAGACGCACCCAGGGAGTGGCATAATGCGCATTCTGAACTCCATAGCTGCTACTAGTGTACTAACCAGTATTTTCAGGGAAAGATTTTTTTTTCCCCCCAATTACTCTGCCTCTTGAAAACAAGGTGTGTATCTTATGCTGGGACATGTTGTATGCAAGAAAATAGTTGGTTTAAGTTTATGGTACCTCAAGACTGAAACAGATGAGCTGGACTGACAGGTGGCTGGATACCAAGAGGTGGCTGTGGAACAGTAGAAACACTATGAGAGCACAGAGTAATGGCAGTGCAGTTGGAAATGGCACAGGATGAACAGCATGAAAAAGTGGCACACCACCCTTTAATGTTGTTGCTGGAAAGCACAAGCTAGCAGGAAGATGGAAGGCACAACCTTGCCTGGTATGAATTGATTGTGCAGTCTAATACAGTGGTTGGGACCACGGTGGAGAGTGATGGTTCTGATCCAGAAGCTAGATGGCCTACTTAAATAGGAACCTGCTGCCCATTTCAGGAAATCAAATAGTGTGTAGACAGACCCAGTTGACCAATCAAGCAAGGAATCAAGTTGTTCCTTGCTTGCTTGATTGATTGATAAATCAATCAATCAATTAGATAAACTTCCGCTGTACTATACTATTCAAGTCTGAATGCTGCCGAACTGATTTATTCCATTATCTTGAAACATCTCAGGTCCTGATGAATCCATTTGCTCACGATCTGACTTGACATTCTGAGTTGAAAGCCAGGCCTTTTGCCTACTATTAGGTTGCATTCAGGGTGCCAGTTTTACACCTTACTCTTGTTGTGTGTGAGCAGATCCACAGTGGCAGGAACTAAAAGGTTGGAGGATAGGGCAGAAGAGAAACAAGGGTGAAAGCCATAGTTCACCAAAAAAAGGGTTTTGTTCATTGAAGGCATCGGGTGACTATATGCAAGTTCTTTATAGGGCAAAAGGGAAGCCCATTTATTTGGATAATTGAGAAACAGTGTATATATTGCTCCAGGATTTGGTTTAACCCTCTGTTGACCAGTAATTTGTGGCTGGTACCTTGACAAAAATCAAGGGTTTAATTCTAAAGAACTCAGAAACAGGACTGGAAGGGGTTCCCTGGACCATCAAGTCCTGTCCCCTGTACTTGCAGGCAATCACACCAGAAAGAAGAAAATTTTGACTCCTGTTTAGACACAGTGGCAACTGGCAGTCTGTGCCAGTGAGCAGGCATATTCTAAAAATGAACAAAATGTTTCTTGGTGCGATATAAGTGGAGACACATACAGTCATCTTGTGTGCGTTACAATCTACCCTTCCTCCAGGGCTGCCAATCTTTATTTTTCTCCCCCTCATACAGAACTCTGGTCCTCTCTAGTAGGTCTAGAGGACCAGGGCTCCATGATCACTCCATATCTCTGTTTCTTTAGAACAAACAAGATAAGATTACAACTCATTATAATTAACAATAAACTATAACCCTTAAAACCATTTACACTGATGTACCAACCAATCAATATATACAACTAAATCTATAAATAAATGTTTAAAAGCCAATTCTCTGCTGAGGTCTGCTCAGTCTTACTGACCTCGTTCTAAACTCTTGAGCTCTAACTGAGCCTTCCTTCCAACTTCCTTGAATACATTCATTTTCATGCTCTGACCCTCTTCCTTCTAGTGGTTGATCTTCTTTATGTTGGGGTGTAATATACTGAAGATAAACCCTATTTCTCCAAAGGAGGCCTTCTGCAGTCTCAACTAAGTAGAATCTAAGAGTGTTTGTCATATTTTGGACAGTTCCAAATATTTGGGAACTTTTGAACTCTTTCCCTAGCAGCAGCTCTGGTAGTGTTTTTGCTCTGTTTCTATACTGAAGTTTTTTTCTGCTGCTAAAGTTTTAGTTCAGCGTCAGATTTCCTGTAGACAGCATTTTTTTCTTTGTTGGATTCCTCACAACATTTTGCTAAAATTGGTATATCCTGTGGCCCTGTCCATTTTCACAGAAATGAATTAGTTTCTGGTAAGTGTCATCCTTTCCTTCCTCATTTGTAATTGCCAGGCAGGTAAGAGCTGAGCTGTTCACAGGCCCAAGACACTGTCAAGGCTTATTTTCCACTTAAGCATAGCATTGCTGCATGTCAGTAAGACATCTTCATATAAATGCAAGAGGCCTCCAGCATCCTTTTGGCTGTGTTTGAATGAGTACTGCTCCAAAACCATATAAACATACATCTGCTGTTACTACCACATGTTAATGTACTAAATACCATGCTAAAACAGGTGGTGATGGCAGTAGTTGTTTGATTATATTCAGTGCCCCTTGCTATGTGTTCTCCCAGACCCACATATTGTGTCCATTAAGGAGATCTCTTATGGGTTTTGTTAGCTGTTCTAAATATAGCAAAAGTGTTCTAAACTGGGTGGCCCTCCCAGCAACTTTCTTATGGCCGGAACATCTTGGGGTTCACGTAAGGCAAGCAATACCTTTATTTTTGTATCGGTATGACTGAACTCATTTTTGCTAATCATATATTCAACGAATTTGTGTGTTTCTTCCTAAATGCATATTTCTCATTCAAAGTCAAACCAGACTGTTAGAAACATTGCAAAAGAGCATGTAGATGTCCATCATGTTCCTGTATATTTTTGCCATATACCAACACAGCATCTGCATGGCAAAGGATGCGAGGCAGACCTGTTACAATCTGAGATGCATGTTTTTAGAAATGCTCTAGTTCTGATGATATGCCAAAAGGAAGCTGGCTAAAATAACAACTCTTGAACAGGGTAATGAATGTTGTTAATACTCTAGATTCTTTAGCAAGAGGGATTTGCCAAAATCTTCCTGTTGGCATCTAATTTTGAGAACACTTTCGCTTCTGCCAGCTAAACCAATGTCTATTTTACTGAAAGATACGTGTCTTTCTGCTGAGTAAGGTCCACACAAATGTGAATTTTTACATTGGGTTTTAGTTGTAAAATTATACCTGCACACCAGTCTATGGGCTCATTTATTTGGGAAATAACTCTCATTGTTTCCATCATCTTTAATTGCTCCTTGACATTCTGAAATGGGGATGCACCAAGGAGCTGTTAGAGCAAATGGAGTTGGTGATGGCAACCAAATTAATTTTATATTCCCCTGACAGCTTCCCCAACCCTGTGAATACCTAAGGATGATTTCTTGTATGGTTTGCATTTTGCTATTAACTGAGCCTAATTTTTTCTACTAAGCGTAGTCCTTGTATTGTTGGCAATCCCAACAAGGGAACTATTAACCCTTGTGCCACATAAATAGGTTGTGACAGCATCTTGCCTCTTGTTTCCAGTTTTCCCCTCAAGCTAGCCACACATTTCTAATAACATTCTGAGGGGCAAGCAATATTGTATCTGATCTTTGCAGACCTCCATCCAACAATGGATCATAATCTATTGCAGGATGGCAGTAATTACAGTTCCAATGTTTATTTTGAAGTTAATGGTTCAACTATTGAGATTTATATTTGTGTACCAAGTTGTTGATTCTTCTATTGAAGATATAGTTCCTAGTAGCATAAGCTTTTTGTCATCCGATGCCATCTACCCCTCCTGAATTAACCTGGATGATCTCCAATCCCTTACAAAAAGTCCTTTTTGTGACATCTCCTGCATTCTGTATTTATTGCTGAACATTGTTGCTGATGGCAATTTGGTGTTTTGCCTCTTCTGCCATACCTTTGCTTGTTTTCACTATTAAAGTTTCTTAATTGTTTTTGCCTCATTTTTGCTCTACTTCTATATCTTAGATGTGAGGGTCCCTTCCTCTCTTGGATTTTCTCTTTACTATAATCTGTGTTATCTAATTAAGTTTTAGATGCACTTATTAGCCTGTAAGTCATACTGCTGTTTCTGTATTCTTTCTTAACTGCTGTTACGGCTTTTGCTAGTTCTGGAGCTAACTGCAGTTATGTTGGTAAACTGACATTTCTGATGCCTACCACAATCCTGTCTCTTACGAGTTCTTCCTTCAAAACTCCGTAATTTCAGTGTTCAGCAAGAGCTTGAACTACAGTAATAAGAGATTTGGCTGTTTCCCTTGGTTCCCAATATCTCATATTAAATTTGGGTTTTTTTAAATATACAAGATTTCATTTACCTATAAAATGTGCCTTGAAAGACTCCTTCACATTTTTATACTCCTTCTTTTCCTCCTCAGTGAAGTGGGCACATAGACTATCATCCACAGCCTCTCCCATGGCAAAGATGAGGGCATTTCCCTGGAGTTCCTG